AAAAAGCAAAAAGAAATACAAACAAGACTATAATTCAGGTAAAGGTTTTTCACCTCCTCACTATATTGGAATATATATCTCAATAGTCTCACATCCAGTGAATTATAGCCTTGTTTGAACTAACATAAAAATCAATAATAAAGACATGTTTTAGTCAGTCATCCTTCCAAAGAAAATGGAGAATTAAGTTCTCGTAGTTCTAATAGTAGTTCTAGAAGTTCTAATAAGTCCTATAGCTGTTCCAGAAAAACTTGTTAAAAACCAAAACTATATCAAGCCAAAGGTGTAATTCTTTTTATATTTATATAAACTTAAATCAGAGGATCTAGAAAAGAAAAGTATGTTAATCCTATTTATTTATTTTAATATCTGCACAAATGTTTATGAAATCTTTATTTACAGTCAATGGGTTAAAGGAAACCAGACATGAAAAAAAAATGGAGGCTGTCATTGATGACTTACTTTTGAAAATGCTAGTTTATTGGCTGTCGTGCTGACCCAAATACTTCATAATTTACATGAATTATTTATTTAGTATGGTTGCACTTTGAGTTCTAGACTTAATTTTCTTCACATTTGTGAATGAAAAGCACTGAAATCAGAGCGTCAGCCAGACGTTTAGTATTTGTGGAAGAAGGTTAACAGTGACAGCCTTTGTTTCTCCTTTCCTTCTTGATGTGTTCCCTTTAAAATCATACCTCAAGTACGGTGTGTATGATGTGTAATAAGCACCATTACCTAATACCTGCAGTCAGGCTGATCTGTGAAGCTTGGTATGCGTCAGTACTCCTTCCTACTATTTGCCATAAATAGTGCTGTACAGAAATTCTTCACACCCTAAAAATAATTTATAGCTTTCCAAATCTGTAGTTTTCCTGTATAACTGGGCTAATAGGGTTAGTTGTATGTGGATAGTTACTATAACCTCAGGAAGAGAAGCAATAGTGCGGCTCCCATTGATACAAAAGTGTACAGCATAATAATATGCACAAATATCCTTCCGTGTACAGAGTGGCCCAACATTGGCTCTGATCTGTATCACTAATGTCATAATGGTCACTTCAACTCTGCCGAGTTCGTAAATTGCTAAATCTGTATACGGTCTCTGCCAAGTGCGGTCACAGTGTCCTCAGATTCAGCAGGAGCTGATCACATGTTAAACATTTACGTGGTTATGTCACAGGCACATAACACTGAATGACAGCTCTGCTTATGACATGACAGGGAGCATGTCAAATACCAGCATGTGTTTAAACACCCATTCTCTGGCTGTGCTCCCAGCTACCTTGCCTGGTGACCTTTCTACATATTTATCATCTATTCTTACTCAATGCTGACAGTTTACTCTTCACCTTACTATAGTTATGGTGTTTCAAACGTCACTCTATGCAAGTGACATACTCCTAGATACCAAGTCCGCATAGATAATATTGTGGCATGCTGACTTAACATGATCCACAAATAACTACCCAAGATGCAGACATGGAATTACATGTGGTCTTAATGCAGGCTTACAACAAGGACATTTTTCTGGTCCCTACAGTTAATAAAAAACAAAACAAAAAACACACACACCACACACAACTCTGTTTCTCACCTCCCCAAGTGATCTTTGAAGGCTGTAACAAACCGAATTAGGGCAGCAAAGCAGGGGAAAGGCATAACTTTATAATAAAACATTTCATAGTCAAAGTGGAGCATACGGACTCAAGCAACACAAAAACTAACTGCTGTGGAAGCATGCTCCGAGCCTAGTACTTAAAGATACCACTATTTGATACATAAATACAATTTATAGTAACAAGTCTTTATATATAAAGAAGTGCATCAATAAAATTCGGATATTGGAATTTCTTTTTGTGTGTGACGGTGAACTTCTGCGATTACTTATATTTAAAGAAGACGCCACCTAATGACAAAGAACAAAAGACCATAAGCTTAATTGTTTAAAGTGCAGCTTGTGATCCAGCTACTTGTTCTAGATATAAATGAGAAAAGAATTATAAAAAAGAAACAATAATAAGATAAAAAATTATAAAAAATAAAAAAGTAAAACGACAAGATAAATAAAAAAAAGTTAACAAAATTTAAAAAGTGCTAATAAAAGGGGAAACAGACAATGAAAAAATTAAAACTAACCCTGCCGCCCCTGCCATTCTCCATTAATGGGGGGGGAGTTGGCGGGGAGGGGGGTTTATTGTGGAATCTGGCCTTGGGGCGGCAGGGAGAGTAAATCCTGCTGCTGTGCGGGCCACATTACAAGGTCCGGCGGGCCGGATTCGGCCCGCGGGCCTTGTGTTTGCCACCCCTGTTCTAGAACCTCTCTATTAAAGTGCAGAACATGAAGTATGGGGATTGACCCTGGTCCAAGCTTAAACTGGATCCCAAACCTGTATAGCTATGTCACTGCTCCTTTATAAAACACATCTGTATGTAACATGATTATATTTTTATGCTATGTAAAGGGTCCAGCACAGTTTGCCAATTACTTAAACTGACACTAAACTACCGTATATACTCGAGTATAAGCCGTCCCGAATATAAGCCAAGGTACCTAATTTTACCACAAAAAACTGGGAAAAAATATTGACTCGAGTATAAGCCGTCCCGAATATAAGCCAAGGTACCTAATTTTACCACAAAAAACTGGGAAAAAATATTGACTCGAGTATAAGCCGTCCCGAATATAAGCCAAGGTACCTAATTTTACCACAAAAAACTGGGAAAAAATATTGACTCGAGTATAAGCCGTCCCGAATATAAGCCAAGGTACCTAATTTTACCACAAAAAACTGGGAAAAAATATTGACTCGAGTATAAGCCGTCCCGAATATAAGCCAAGGTACCTAATTTTACCACAAAAAACTGGGAAAAAATATTGACTCGAGTATAAGCCGTCCCGAATATAAGCCAAGGTACCTAATTTTACCACAAAAAACTGGGAAAAAATATTGACTCGAGTATAAGCCGTCCCGAATATAAGCCAAGGTACCTAATTTTACCACAAAAAACTGGGAAAAAATATTGACTCGAGTATAAGCCGTCCCGAATATAAGCCAAGGTACCTAATTTTACCACAAAAAACTGGGAAAAAATATTGACTCGAGTATAAGCCGTCCCGAATATAAGCCAAGGTACCTAATTTTACCACAAAAAACTGGGAAAAAATATTGACTCGAGTATAAGCCGTCCCGAATATAAGCCAAGGTACCTAATTTTACCACAAAAAACTGGGAAAAAATATTGACTCGAGTATAAGCCGTCCCGAATATAAGCCAAGGTACCTAATTTTACCACAAAAAACTGGGAAAAAATATTGACTCGAGTATAAGCCGTCCCGAATATAAGCCAAGGTACCTAATTTTACCACAAAAAACTGGGAAAAAATATTGACTCGAGTATAAGCCGAGGGGGGCACTTTTCAGCAAAAAAAATGGGCTGAAAAACTCGGCTTATACTCGAGTATATACGGTGGGAGTTAAAAAGGAGAACTATAAGGTGAGTGATTTTCATTCAACCTCATAGTTCGAGCCGACCTGTGGCAATGAAACTGTCACAGGTCAGCTCTATAGATCGGGGAAAGTGAGCGAGCGCATACTGTAGCTCGCTCACTTTCCGATCATCTCCCTGCAGAGAGCGTTAATTGTCAGTCACTGCTCCCCGCAGGGATTCCCCCCTCCCCTCTCCAATCCTTTAGTGCTGAATGAGCTGTAGCTCGCTATATACTGAGCTTTGGGTCACGGGAGGAGGTTAGTATATGTCCTCCTGTGACCCTTAAGAGAACTATGGGATAAAAAGGTTAAACCATAGTTCTCTTTTAAGTCTTAAAAATGCATTCAAGGACGTCAACTATTAACAAAAAATGTATCTTATTTGCGGATCGCTTGGCTGTAGATCTCTGTATTGGTGCCGACACTGTTCTTACTTCTGGAGAGTGACTACTTTTGTTCCCCATGGTCCCTGTGTGTGTTGTAAAGTAGCCACCGCCGCAAGCTCGCTCCCATGATGGACTACAAACTCATGTTTAGTTTACTCATTTGTATTGAAGTTATAATCTATCATGAGAGCAATATTGGAGCGGTGACTACTTTACAACACACAAAGGGACCATGGGGAACAAAAGTAGTCACCCTCCAGAAGGAAGGACAGTGTCAGCACCAATTCAGAGATGATTTGAGGATCTACAGCCGAGTGATACACAAATAAGATACAGTTTTGTTAATAGTCAAGGTACTTGAACATATTTAACATTTAACTTCTGAATTATTGCCACTTATCCAGATAAATGTATACGTACTACACTACTTTGTTTGATACAACTGTATAAGGTCTACTTAAAGAAACCTACACTGAGAAAAGTATTTAGGCTTTGAACCCCGACCTCTTCTGAAAATGCATGTTGGCTGAAAGTCATGCTGATCCAGTGGTTTCAGAACTTCCAGAGTTACAGACCCAAAATAGAATACAAATCAGGTCTTCTAAGTTCCTCCAGTGACATCTCTTCATCATTACTTGTTTCACCTTAGTGACACCAGAAAGGCCAGAGGCTGTGGAATGTCAACAATTGAAGCCTCCATATTTCTCAAAGCACAGTTTTACGTTACACCTTAAATAACACTTTCAAGAATAGAGTCAGTTGAACTGACAAGCCAAAATCTGTGCAGCTATTTAAAACAGAGTTCTTTTAGTCAAACTATCTGATATCATGTTGTGGGGCAAGGTTAAAACTATGATCAACTTTTCCATAACACAGGGTCACCAGGACAGAAATCCTATCAGTTTCCTCCTTTTCCAGTCTTAGAAGAAATAGGCTTTAAAAGGCAAGAAAAGTTAACACCAGTAGAAACCACACATTTAAGATTTCACAGTTGGTGAATGAGCTAGGATTACGTTATAGTAACAGAAACACTTCTTATAACAAATGCACTATGATCTGGATTATTATCACCTTGTATTACTGATACCATTAGCTGTGTAATAAGCAGAGGTCTCTGACTCACCAAACTGGCCATCACATTTTACAAATACTTCCACAACTGCATAAGCAAGGGCAGTAGGAGCAGGTATTTCCAATACTGTATTTTCATCCTGTATAAAATCTCCATTTTCGGTCACTGATACCTGTGAAAACATTGCAGTGTTTTATTCAGTCAGCGTCAGACACACACAAAGCCAATGTATCTGGTTACAAATAACACCTGTATTGGGGATTTTAACTGATAAACCTTCATTTAAAGAGCGGAGAGTACACAGCATTCATGAGATGGCCCTGATCCTCTGAACCTCAGTGTGTCTATTGTCATGTTACACATACATTGTGTTATGCCTTAAATAGCACAGTCGACCCCCGAAATTCACGGGGGTTATGTTCATAAAGCACCTGCAAATTGTGACAAACCGCAAATTTTGAATGTGGTCAACAAAAATTCTATTTTTATAGTTTAAACCCTAAATATGCCCCCAGAAAACACTTAAATTTTATTTCAAACTCTGCTTAATACATTACCCTTTAAAAAAAAAAGAATGTAAAAGTAAACCTGTATACTGTACAGTACTGTACTGCTATGTCTCCCGCAGTGCTAGAATGTAAAATACCGATGTTACCCCTATATGGGAAAAGTCCACAAACGACTGAGGCCGCAAACTCTCAACCGCGACTTCGCGGGGGTCTACTGTATTTGCTTTATCTGTCTTCGATATCGTCTCCACCCCTTCCCATAGTTCAGGTTTTCCTCTTTGTAGACAGCTCCACCCTTCATTATTTTCCAGTTCTGATCCCAGCCACATGTCCTTGCTAGTGGATCATATTATGATCTTTTGAACTATCCACTATCCATCTTTTGAACTATCTGCACAGTTTGGATATCAATCTTCAAGGTGTCATATGGATTGAGTCAACTGTCTGCCAACTCACTGAGATTGGGGTTATCTCGCCACAACAGTATGTTACAGAGATCACATTTTCAATGCATAGACTGGGGGGCAGAACAGTCTATGGATATCAGATGATTACATAAATATTTGTATGGGGAAAGTACTTGGCAATAAAAAAATTAGCTTATGATTGCAGTAGGTCCCAAAATGAATCACCACAAATCATCCAAGGATTGGGCCATGGAAGTTATATAAACCTATTCACTAGCCCCCAAACCCTTCTTTAAAGCATAACCCAATGATTTCTTAAAAAAAATAACCCTTGCAGTGGGGCTACCCTCGCACAGCAAGGGTTAACTGCTAATTTGTGTCTAAATAAAAAAACAAATAAAAAAAAACAAAGATACACTCACCAAAAGCTCTGAGCCGTCTTAAGGTGCCCATGCACCTGACGATTATCGTACGATAATCGCGGGTGATCCCGCGATAGTACGATAATCGGCAGGTGTATGGACAGCGTGTGACCGCATTTACTGTACGGTCGCACGACTTTCGTCTTATGAGCACTCTAGAAAAACTGCCGAAAATCGTACGATTTTCGGCGGGTTGGTAGCGCGATCACAGGACCAAAGACGCACGGGCACACTGCCCGCTCAGCATTGCAATCATCGACAAGCCCTCCCCTCAGCGGGGAGGACATGCGATGATCGCAAGTATGATCTGCCTGTCCAAGATGGGCAGGTCGTACAAAATTTTAATCACCTTACAACCATCACACAATGAAAGTCGTGCAATGGTTGTAAGGTGTATGGGCAGCTTTAGACCGTTCCCTGGAATGTCTCTCTCCCTCCTCTGGAGCGGTCTAAGGTCCAATAAATCACCACGTCTATATACTGTGCATAGTCGTGCGGACGCTGAGGAACATTACAATGTGGTGCGGAGGAGGGGACATGGTGGAGGGAGCGCCGTGACAGCTGGCTGGCTCAGAGCTTTGGGTGAGTATATTTCTGTTATTTTAGCACATAGACACAAACAAGCACTTAACCCTTGGATGGATAGTACAGCGCTATAGAAAACAGTGATATTAAAAAAAAGAAAAAGTATATACACATGCTACAACAAATACAAAAAAAGTGTCCTAAATAAGATATATTAAAAATCCTGTGCAGAAACGTATAACATTGTAATGTGATCAATTATCATAGGTGTGTCCCAGTGTTTCATTTCACACATTCAAGAGATCAATGAATGAACTTTCAGTACAAAGCCATGTTTCCGTATCCGCACTGTCTAATAAGGACCATAGCTAAAATATTTAGCATGGTCACTTGTGCCTTCCCACACACTGCGGGGACAATAATCCGCTGCGCCAGTAGCAAGAAATCTCTCGGCTCCTCTGGTAATACAGCGCTCAGAAAAGATTATGAAGATACATAGTGTGGACCCATTTTAAAACCATTTATTCAAAAACAAAAAATATATATATATACACACTTTCATATAACATCCTATTCCCTGACCCAATCCTGATTAAGTCCTGGTGATATAACACATTAGGGTGGAGCTTGGCAACGTTATCCCCCAAAGTTTGAGGAGACACTGAGCGGCAGTGAGTACGCTGGTTGTTTGGTTACATTAGGACCGGTCTTTATTTATCTGGGTGTGTGGACAGTGCATCACTCCCAGGATTGGACTGCGACTCCTCAGGGGAAAGCTCAGGGGAGAGACTCAGAATCAAGCAAAGTCTCTGCAGCGGATGGCTCAGGAGCCACTAAGGCTGCAAGCAAATCAAAAATAGAATCAGCTTGAGAGGGCATGGTAGCACCCTTAAAAGGCGACCTACAGGCACCAGCATCACATTAGGTATTCAGAACAAGCATTGTAAAATAAATAAAAAGGCTATGTTATGCTCCAAAATAAAAATAAAAATTTAAGAAAACGCACACTGCTTGTCCCGTCCTCTTCTGAGTAGCAGCTCCTGCTGGTTTTTTTTTTGTCAATCTGGCTCATCTCCCACAATGTCTTGCACCACATGTCATGTGCAGCAGGGCTCCAGGGTGTAGGAGAGGCTGGCAAAGTATGGAGGTGGGTGGGGATGTTGGCAGGACAATAAGGAAGAGGTGTGAAGCTGTGAGAGGGAGTAGTAAAAAAAAAAACAACAACAACAAAAAACACACAAACGCTATCTTCTGTGCACACAATGAAATGTAGACAAAGATATTTATGGGTACTAAATGGAAATTTAAAATTTAAAATACAGGGCGTGAGATGTTAAAAAAGTATGCAGATGCGAATATAACATTATTGTAGTATGTAGTGAGAAGGTCATTCTAAAAGAGAACAGAGTGCACGCTAATCTTATCAATCTTATCCATCACTGACCAAGTGGAAAAGGCAAGGTCTTCACATTCAGTACTCCAATAAAGCAATTTGCACTAGGGATTTCAAACAAGTCTTGCTTTTTCAGGAGTGTTGTAGCGAGCAGGCCTACTGTGCTTTCTATTTATAAATGTAGTACTTGCAAATTATGGGCATTCCATACTAACACAATTACAACTGTGAAATGCAAATTATCAAAATTATCAAAAATTGTATGGAGTTTTAAAACAAAATCTTACAGATTCCATTCACCTCTGCTACTTCTGATGTCCACCTTTTGCTATGCAGAAAATCAATGTATTTGGCTTCCTGGGAACAACCTCTGTTCTTCAAAACAAAATTCTATGTCATGACATTCAAATCTGGCCTAGCAGTCACAAGCAGTGATGACAGGATGGGTTTAGCAAGCAACCTCCTTTGCAATGTATTAATTCAGTCCTGTACAATGCTTACAACTGTTTTTGCACAGTGATTAAAACTATTCATCCCGGGAATGGCACTGCTCTCATGATCATGCAATCATCTCTCTCCTATTACAAGGATGTGATGGTATGAGGTGCCTGGTCTTGGAAAGCAATAGAACATCTGTTCCAATCACCAGAGTCTGGCATAACAATAATTCCATCATCTTGATGTCTGTACACTGCCAGCTCTTAGCATTTCCCAGGAACAACCAAAAATAGTACTTCACCCCTATCCGGATTATCAAACCTACAGGCCCTTTCATTTATCTTGATTTCATTTCAGCAAAATTAAGTTTGAGAAAATATCACTACAGTCTAATTAAAACGGCATAACATAATAAAACAGGAAGATGCCGAGATGACAAAACATGACAAACTGATTCTTTCATCTCCCCTCCCAGTATTGAAAGATCACTATCAAATACCTCCCTGCCTGAACTACCCAACACCCAAGTAGATTATGTGCCCCCTTCACCCATTACTACATCATCCGAAAGCACAACTCACACAGGGGCAAGACAAGGAAAGCACCCACTCCATGAAGGTAAATTCATTTTTGTGCCTGATTCAGACTACTCAGGCAGAGAAATAGTCACCCAGATCCACCATCTCTACTAACCCCACCAGCTTGTGGTATGGTACGGTACCAAGAGACCAACTATTAGATGAGGCCTTATTTTTACCTACAACTATGGCCTGGGCTAGATCTTTCATTGCAGGCAACAATATATGAAGGGCAGCAGTCAGTAGGTGTAGTTTAAACGCAGCTGGTAAAATGAGGTATTGAACTGAGGGAAGTGACAGTGACTACAGAAAGGTGGCTGAATGCACTTAATACAATGGAGTTCCTCAGTGCATCTAGGAAATTTCGCAGTATGAAAGATCCAGGGGCTCCTCTCAGTAACCGAGACCTGTTATAACAAAATATTTTCACTGTGCTTACTTGTAAGCATAAGACCTTTCACTGGATTACCCGATTAAAGAACAATGTAGCCCTGAAATGTCACATTCTGCATGGCTGACAGAAAATCATTCTTCAGAGCATGAAATATTCCCAATATAGGAGCTGAGCCTCTGAATCTTTCATATTTCACTACATGGCAGGGAGAGTAACGCTTCTACAGTGTGATCTTTACTAGGTCTACAAAAAACTAAATCAGGGCTACTAGTCTTTATACTTCTCTCTCGAAGATCACTGGAAACAGAAACTTGTCAAGGAATACCCTGAAAAAAGGGATGATTGACCAAGAAAAGTTTTAGAATCCACTATAATCAGTCATATGATTTGAGAAGGTTAGTTAACATATGGCTTGCTGCCATGCAGATACCTGGGAGGGAGGATCCACCTTCTTTCCCCAAAACACCACCTTAGTGTTGAAAACCTGAGACTTTCCCTGAGACATCAAATGCGTGGAACAGCCCAGTAAGACCAGGCCAGGGCTGTATTTGTTTATAATGAGTTGCCAACTGCTGAAGCGCAGATGAGCTATCAACACGTGGAGTAAAAGTTAAAGCATAACCAAACCCAAAAAAGTTAAATATTGCAGCTCATCAGTCCTTACATATGGTGGCTCAAAACTTTTCACTTTTAAGCTTTAAATCATTTTCATCAAGCACATAAAATACCTATCTAACTTGCCAGAAATGCAGAGTCCTCATCACTTCCAGTGAGCTGAAAGGAAACCACAAAAAAACTCTCTTGTGTAAATTTCCAGTCCCGTCAATGCACCATGTAATGGAGATAAACAAAAAGGTAGACATGTTTGAAGTCCAGCCTGTGTGACAAACATGGCTGCCCCCATAGGTACAGTGGAACTGAATCTAAGAACTGGTAAGCTGCAATGTGCTGCATTCTTGTGTTTGATTCAAGCACCTTTCACACCTTAGTTTTGTGGTACTGCACACGTTAAAATGAAAGTGTTGCATTTTAACGTGTGTTGCCTTAAAAAGGAGAACTATGAGGCGAGTGAAAATCACTCATCCTCATAGTTCGATCCGAAGTGTGACAATGAAACTGTCACACGTCAGCTCAATAGATCGGGAAGTGAGCGAGTGCAGACCGTCGCTCGCTCACTTCCCGATCATCTCCCTGCAGAGAGTGGTGACTGTCAGTCATGGCTCCCTGCAGTGATTCCACCCCCCTCATCGCTCCGATCCTCCAGCGCCAACTGGAGGAATGGACGGGGCAGGGGGCGGGTACAGCTAGCTCTGCCTCCAGATAGGCAGAGCCAGCTGTCATTCACGCAGCTGGGTGGATCAACAGCATTGTCGGGATGCGTCCCGGCTGCGGCAGTCTCACTATACAGCGAGCTATAGCTCGCGATATACTGAGCTTTGGGTCACGGGAGGACGCTAGTTTATGTCCTCCCGTTACCCTAAGGAGAACTATGGGGAAAAAACACTTACCCCATAGTTCTTTTAAGGAGGCCCATTTATTTTGAATGGGCTGTCAAAGTAGCAAAAATCTGACTGGAGGCAAAGTTCTAAACACGTGTAATCAAGAACCAGCTGCACTCCTTACCGGAATAGTAGTGAACCTGCCAAGCAGGTGGGTGCTTGTAGTGACCACGGACGGCCCCGTGAAAAATGCAGATCTAGTAAGGATTGTCACCAGCACACCAAACGTTATTGAACCAAAAAGTCCTTTATTGACAAATCGCCATCCAATTTGTCAATAAAGGACTTTTTGCTTCAAAAACGTTTTTGGTGTGCTGGTGACAATCCTTACTAGATCTAAAGTTTTAAACACAACGCTTGTGTGGGTCAGCACTTACTGTACTCTGAACAGAGTACTGTTCAGGAGCCTAAAGGAAAAATGAAAATCCAGCAATTATCCGTTATAGGCTATTGTGAAATACCTTTTCATTATTTGTAATTACTGCTTAGCTTAGCATTGCATGCAACTTATTTTGATTTACAAGCTGTTATCAGCATGCGATGCGGAGCAATATCACATCGGAAATAATCTGTTTCCTAATATATGATGCATTTGGCTATGTATCAGTAATGTATGGCACACACCCCTCTTACCTTCACCATTTTTGCTTTAACACCAAGTTTCCCACCAAATGTTTCCTCTGACTGTGCATGTTCTGAAATAACGCACTTCTGGGTGGTTATAATCTTTTCTTTCACAATACACAATAAGTCACGCTTGTAGCCATGAAGCTGCTGTATGAAGGGATGGTGCAAGTTTATCTTTCTGCAAATACAATTTAAAACAGTGGATACATTAAATCAGAAGAAAATTAAAAAATGCCAGCCTGTGCCACTTCAACCATCAACAAAATAACACTAAAACCAGAGCACTAAGTCCTATATGCAAACTGGATGATAGAAGGAATGGAATTATTACCCGACTTAAGAAATTAAGAGTTAAAAAAAAAAATACACACAAAACTTTTTATACTCATACTCATAAGAACCGTCATCGAATTGTTAAAAAATCTTTAAATTTGGCAAATCGAATCCAATTTGTAGTCAGGTTTGTTGTTATTGGTTTTAAGGATCTATAGCTAATCCCATCGGGCTTGGGATAGACAGGGTTGGCACAAGCTACTGCTGATCTTGCTCCCCTTGCAGCTGCGATCAGTGAGGAGATACGCATAAAGTCCTGGCCCGTGACTACAGCTCAGAACGCGGTATTACTTCCACATGTAGACCGTGATGTCACTGCATCTCCTAGTTACCGCCAAACACGTTTCAACACTCTCTCAAAGACAGCATCCTTGATGTCGAAATGCCTTACTGTCCACATGCTGATGGTTCATCATGCTTCTGCGCTTTAGTCACCAGCCAGGACTGTATGCTTTTCCCCCTCGCTGATCACAGCTACAAAAGGAACAAGATCAGTGGAAGCTTGTACAAAAGCCACCTGTCTATACCAATGTCAGATGGAATTAGCGATGAACCCTTACAACCATTAACAAACCTAATTTCCAATCTGGATTTCTAGCTGCCAAGTTTAAAGATTTTTAGGATCCGATTGATAGTTCTTAAAAAAAAAACACACACTAATTGTTCAGCATTTAACCCCTCATTCACTATATCAGGTAATAATTCCATTCCGTTTATCATCCAGTTGGCGTGTAGGATTTAGCACTGTGGTTTTGATTTTATTGTACCATTTGAAAAGTATTATCAGCAAAACCATACCATGTCTCCTTCTTCTGGCTCATAGTATGCACTGCACTTGGAGAAGTGCCCTGTACAACCGTTTTTTACCCATGGTAAATTATTGTTTAATTAGTACATTCCACATGGAATACGAAAATACAAAACCTATTCCTATTACAAATAAAAACCATGACAAATAGTATATACGCATCAGCACTGTCTAGGGCCTACCAGCCATCTAGAAGGTTTTTAGTGTGGTCATACAAGGCCTGAGATCTCATTAGATGAAATTATTGTTTTGTGCTACATGTTTGTATTACTCTGCAACAGCTCTATTTGCAAAAAGATCACTGAAGTTTCTATAAAACCACCATACCATAGGTAAATTTGCAGTCATGTCACAAACATGGAAAGGAACATTTAAATAAAATGTTTAAGAGAAAAAAAAAAAAAAAAAGAAAACCACTCAGCAACACATTTCAAAAGGTTATTGGAAGACGCATGTTGTATTCAAATAAGAACAAAAAAAAAATTGCAGTTTACTCCCGAGAGTAACTTTGCCCTTTCAATTTAATAACGGTTCCCTTCTGGATAACTTGGCATGGCAATAAAATTAATCCTATTTAAAATACAATAATAATGGTAACAATAATAAAATCCTTTGCAACCCCTATTTCCAGAGCGTAATTTATTAAAAGTGGAGCCTGGCGCAATTATTGTATTTACAATGTTTAAACCTCCATTACAGCAATAGCAGCAATATAAATTCAAGCAATTGTTTGATTTAAAATTACAGCCAACCACAGCGCCACCTGCAGGCTGAACACAGAAATAACATGAATGCTTACAGAAAAAGATACTGGGGTCATGTAGTATCTACATGAAAAGTGTTCATGCTTAAGCTGATGTTTAGTTAAAAAGGTTGTTGTTGTGGATACAGAGCCGCTGAGACATAACTTACCTCTAATGAAGTGTATTCTATGTTCTGCTGACTGCTGCTTACTGTAGAAATCTTTCCTCCAGTGATGCCGGATACACCCCATAGCAGTGATCTTCTGGCGATGTTGGGTATAAGATCAGGGGCTGCAACTGTGAAGCATTAATGCCGATTTCCCTCCCCTTCCTCCACTCTCGCCCATTCACAATACTCGTAGTATCCTATCCCAGAATGCAGTGTTCCGTGAGTGGAGGAGGGGCAGATCAATGACAGGATCCATCTCCCCCATTCACAGAACTCTTTGCATTTTGGAAAAGGCTCGTAAGAATTATGTGAATCAGAAGGAAAGGAGGAAGGGGAGGGTGAGTGCAAGGACAAGAAGTAAAGTTAAGCTGGCCATACACTGCTCAAAATTTCTCCAAGACTTGACCAAATAAAATCTGCATATGGCCCTGCTGACTCCACATCACTTGACAAAAGCTGATTTTTCAATTGACTAATGCTGAAGAAGCCAGTCCATAAATTGTTGGCCAAACAGTAACTGTGGTCAGTCAGCTTCAGTCACTGTCACTGGCAGCTGTCAGAATACAATACCCGGGGTAGGGGAGATTCAATCATCCATGCAGCTTACCATGGATGGGGTAATCAAATGTTTTCACTCTTTTGCTGGCAGGGCTGAACAAGAAAAATGTCAAGTGTATGGCCAGCTTTACATTCACCTTTGTGCCCTAATCGGCTCACACGGCCCAATTATCAGACCATCTTCTACAAGACGCTGCACTCCAGTGCTTTCCCTATCAGTTTGCATTGAGTGGATATGTAGAATGGTCCCTGGAATTTTATACAAAACTGGACCAATCCACATAAAGCTACTCTTAGGAATAAATAAATACAGCAATAAAAAAAGCAGAGAAAAAGGTTTTCTGCTTCTGTAGAGTCACACTAAACAAACCGCCTTAAACGGTTTACTAAGGTGGAGACAGATGCACTAACAGTATGTTCACGTCCCCATGCTTTACACAACAAAAGCATCGCATACATTTTTCATGCCTTACCAATAAAAAAAAAGAAATCAATGGAAAATCGTGATCACATTAAAAATTCAAAGGCTGGAAATGTACTTTGCAAACATTAAGGGACAGTGACGGCGTGTCGTTATCTTAAGAGAATTTCACATTTTTCAAATGTACAAAAAACATGAAAAATGTGTAAAATGTAGTAAGGCTCTGCAAGGTCCATGTTTTCTAATTGATGGATCCCTAAACGTTATCATTCCATTACCTTTTCGGTGTATCCTTTCTCTTTTTGTTGACATCTTGCAACAATCTGTTCCATCATATATATTATAATGATACTGCTTTGGCCCTTGTACGTCTTATTCACATTTTTCAGCACAATGTTAGATGCTGGCACTAACTTATCATCGACATACCTTGTACAGTATTCTCCTATTCTCCATCACATCTTGTAAGGAAGATAACTTGAGTGCAGAGGCACAAAGCCCGACAATGTACAGTATAGCAATTCCCTAGGACACTGCTGTAGTACAAGGGCCGAGTATCAAAAAAAAAAAAAGCACGGACAAACAATACTGCAACTATGCAGACAAGGAAATAAATCAGTAGATTTGCTAGGTGCCTGTCTAGGAGGTTCTACCAAGTTTCCCTACTGACAAACAACTATTTTGTAAAAAGTTGAAAAATCTCATTTTAAATTGGTCGTTGTGTCTTTAACATGATTATTCAATAAAACAGTGCAAGTACCCAGGAAATAAAACATAGTGCAGTATCCACTGCATCCAATCACCATTCATCTTCTACTGGTCTGACTTCAGCAAAATGAATGCTGATTAGTTGCTCTTAATGCACTTAAAGGAGACGTATTGGGAGCATAAAATATACCCTTCCCAGTACCTAGAGCCTGCATGGGACACTGCAGCTGTCACACGCTGGCTCTACGCTGAGAGCAGAGTGATCATGTAGCAGTGTCCTCCCTGCAGGAATTCCCCCCTCTCTGTTCTTCCGGAGCTCATTGGAAGAACAGGCAGGGGAGGGGGCAGGTACAGCTGTCACTGGCTCTAGAAAGGCATAGCCAGCTGTCAGACATTGTCATGATCCTTCCCGCCTGCAGCGTGGCTCTGCAATGTCAGCATAGAGCAGCCAGTAGCCCACTATTGTATATGCTGACTTTTGATCACAAGAGCACATTAGTAAATGTACTTCTGTGACCCAAAAGTGAAGTAAAGCCAAAAAACCCCCCCCCAAAAAACACGGTCTGTTAATACAGTACTTTGCTTCTTGAACTGTATACTGAAAAAGTCTATAATGTGACTGCAATCAGCCAATTAAAGGTGATACCCATAGTTATTTGATGATCTATTTAGTATTTATGTGTGTGTATATATTTATGTGTGAGTATTTTATGACATGCAGCAAATTATTAGTGCCAGCAAGAGGTATTATGGATTCATTTCAGGCAGCCACAGTTGACATAGACAAGCACATGCTTATGCAAAAAAAAAATCAGCAAATTCACCTGTGAACAGTTCGATCCATAGATACACCAGATAATTGGTGGTTGGCTAATAGATTTCCCTTGTGTCTAATGAACGTATATGGCAAGAACAGACTGAAAGAATTATCATTAGGTATAAATCTCTCAAAAGTAGGCAGCTCACACATTGCAAGCGTCACATATATTTTGTTGCCAGTGGTAGATAACAGCTCAAATTGTGCAGGTGAGTAAGTTTAAGCTACCATATTTTCAGCTGGCTGCATCAGACTCTAAACTGATTTCCTGGGGAAATAAAAGCTAGAGGTAAAAGTATGAAGTAAATAAATTAACCACTTGCGCTCCCACTTGTACACGTGTTATATAGAATTATATCCGAATTTCTATGGGCATTTCTAAGGCATACAGACATCGTCAGTGCTTTAAAGCGGACTCAAAAATCAAATTCTACCAATGCATCCCTCTATGTATGATGATAAATAACAGACATGTCAGGTGTAAAAGTATGTCATTTTGAAATACTTACAAAGCAGTAAGTGAATGCTCTGCAATTGTAAGGGAAAAATGACTTCAGTTTGCCAAAACATTGCATTCTGGGAAGGTTACATCAACAGAGCATTGCTGGGAAATCTCATCTC